TCGGTGGCATTCACGCCCTCAGGATGTAGCCCAGTGTATGACCACAGAGGGATTTGTTCTGGGAAATTCTTTCCAAAGTCAAAAAAAGGAATTCATGCTAGAAAGTCATCTTAAATAAAATAATAAATTCAGTGTGAAGTTTTCAAAAATCATTGCACCAAAAGGAAATAGAAAGATAATTGTTCTGATTTGTTTTCTGCTTTAGTTGGCCAGCCTCAAGGCCAGCTGGGGATTTTCCTCCCTGGATTGTCTGGGTGTGTTAATGGAGAAGTTGCAATTACTGGAGGGAGGGGAAGGCATTCTCCCATCAACACAGGAAATAAGTTGCATCTTTGACTTAGAACAAGGAGGGCTAAGTCTGAGAACCCAGGGAGAATATTGGGAAGGTCAGGTTACCTGCATTGGACATTCCTGTGTGCCAGCCTCTGTGTGCCAGGCTCTGGAAGGAGGTCTGTGGTTGGGGAAGAGCCATGAGCTAAATGAGAGGCATGGGTAGGATGCTTCAGGTTACATAGTCCGGTGGAGTGAGGGTGCACACAAAGTGCAGCACTCAGGGCAGGAGGGAGACCCAGAATTCCAGGGGCCCATAAGTTTATAGGCACCAGACGTTCAGATCAGACCCAGAAATTTGAATCAGAGCCATGCCATGCCTCATGACTAGACTTGTGATCAGATTCCTGAGACAGGAGCCTGTCCCCACTGTCACTGTTTCTCTAAGGCAGACAGCGGCTGATTGGAGCATCAGGCTGAGGGGCTGACCCTACTTAGATTTCACTAGGAGTCTCAGATGGCACATTTGAACATCCTCGCCCCTCACCACCCAATAAACTACTGTTCCATGCTGGCTCTGGCCTAGGCAGGTGATGTTGGCCGTGGGGTTCTACTTGGTTAGTGCATCACCAGTACCGACCTTCTGAACAGGCTCTTTCCTAGGCCTCTAGATTAGTGGACTAAGTAGTGGCTTCCTAAATTTCAGAGCCTACTAGCAAAACTGAGTGGTTGGTGAATGGTAGATCCTCTTTTAACGCAAATTTATTTTTAGGGAGCTTAGAGGATTTGAAAACTCTGTATTAGGACACAGTGGTCAGCCAAACGAGAGATTCCTTAAAACTTAAAAAAAACAGGTAGAAGGCAAAGCAAAAATGATGCCATGGCCGCCTGCCCTTATTCCAGGGAGTGGGAAAGTGATGAACACTGTCAGGGATTCGTGCCGTGACGGAGAGACACACCACACAACGAGTGTGTAAGGCGAGAAGCACTCATTTGTTCAGTTGCTCTGGTTGATGTTTGGTAGGAATGGAGGTGATGTTCACAGCACTCAGTATTCTGTATTCTTTGGATTGGGTAGAGATGAGGATGTAAATGAAGGAGGCAGTAGTGAAAAGGTGTTAGGACCTGGGGCAAGTCTCTGTTTTCTTTTGGGGCATAGGGTATCCCAAAGGATTAGTTTAGGTAAGGGCTTAATGGTACTGCAGGAAATAATGGACTTCCTAAGTATTGAGGGCCACCAAGAGGGACAAATTAATAGCTTGTACTTTTCCTAGACTTCCTGCCTTTCCCATGCTCTTCCAGATTTGCACTTGGCTCATGTGGGAGACTTCTAGGTTGAAGGGGATGCATGGGAGTCTCCTGATTCTAGGGAGGATACTTATGCATTGTTGCTAGGCCTTGCAGTCAGTTATGTGGGTTACTGTTGCTGGACCGTGTGAAAGTCACTTGGTAGCCTCTGACGATGTCGGGGAAGAGATTTCTCTAGGCTGGTCCATTCAAGGAACCAGCTTAATCAGATCTGTCATCTTTGTGGTACACAGCATTTACTTTGCCATTCTTGGCTGGTGATTGCTTGGGCCATTACTTGACCACAAAGTGGAAATCTGGGAAGAGAAGTGCTCAGCTGGCTTGACAGGTTTCTAGGCATTGCATTGATCTGCCATGTCCTGCCCTTTGGTGGGCATTAAGGACCTGATCAAAGTGCTCTCTGCTCTGGAGCTGTTCCTCGAAGGCCAACACTGGGTGCCCCTAAGCCTGCGTTCTGCCAGGGTGAGCCTGAGGCTTTCAAGGGCTCAGCTGTGCTGCTGAGCCAGCTCCAGTCACTTGCCTGGAGGCCCTGGTTGTGGGGTCAGTGTGTGGAGAGGACTAGAGCACAGAGGAAGGCCCCCTTCACCTATCCAGTGGCCTGGCTGATGGCTTTTTATGGTCTTTATTTACTTAAAATAAAAAGGAGTTAAGTGATGTTTGCCATAACGTTATAAAGGGAGTGGGTAAACATCTTTGGTCTACTGCCTGCTTTAGGATGTTAAGACCTTAAGGACATTTGTTCTGCAGTGAGTGAAGCCTCACTGCAGAAAGGTACCCTTTTGCAAAAGAGTATCAAGTCTGGGCATCAGAATCATTTTAATAATTCCTGGATCTCCATAGGAGAGATTCTGATTAAATGGGTAAATGGGTCTGGAGCCCAGGAACTTTTTTTTTTTTTTTTTAAGTTTTCCAGGAGAGTCTAATTTTCATCCAGACTTGGGGACCAACCCAGTAGTTACAGCTCCAGGGATGCTCTTCCCATTCTTCAGGTGATTTCAGCCTCCTTGATTCCTCATACTGATTTTGAACCTTGAGCCCTAACTGAGCACATAGCTGGTCTTCACTCCTTTTTATGCCTGTTTTCCAAAAGGCTACCTTTGGGGGACGTTACTTCCCTCTGCCTCCCATCCATGACTTTGTCTCAGCCTAGATCCGAGCTGGTGGCTCTTTCCTTTCTTACCCATGAAGAGAAAAACTCCACCTGGTCATTTTGATGGGCAGATATCAGATATCCTGGGACATTTTATCATGAAACTTCCTGTTTGTCCAGGCAGTTGTGGGCATTGAGGCCCTGAGATGGAGCCAGAACCTTCTTGTGTCTCGCACAGGGGAAAATCTCTTTACTGTCCTCTGAGAAACATTCTGGAAAGCTCAGTATTTCCTAGCGCCACCAGACACTGGGCAGTGTTGTGTGCCCTAAGCCATAAGTCAGCATTGCCAGGGAGCAGAGCTGAGTTGGTGGCATTCTTGATACAAGCGCTGAGTGTGCCTGTAGGGCCGCCATCAGACCTCCATGGGGGCTGGGTCACACAGCATGAGGCGGGATTTTTAGACCCATCAGGTAATACCCGAGCCAGACAACATCACGTGGGAGGGCTGTTCCCACTGCTTCTGCCTACGTTGCTCTGCAGCCTGTCATCCCACATCCCCTCTGCTCTCCCTGGTGCCCGGCCCGAGGGCTTCCTCAGACCCCTTTCTGCGCTCACTGCAGTTACACTAGGGGCCCCCCTCACTGCTCCCGCAGTACCTGTGCCTGCCTAGAACTTGCTTTTGAATCTTTGAGTGTCGGCCTCTCTCTTTTACGTAGGCAGGACAACTTAAGGGTGGACTTTTCATCTGTCTATCTCCATCACTTTGCACTCTACCTGGCTCTAGCATGGTTCAGTAAATGTCTGTTGAGTGAATGAATCAATATATTCTTTGAGGGGATGATATAAATAACTGCCACTGAGTTCTTTCAGTGAATAGTGTTCATTTATTACAGGCTGGCCCTTGTGCACGTAAGCTTGTGTATCACCTTATATTAAGTGAAATTTAATAGTATAAAGAGTATTTCAGACACTTTGGGACATTAACTGAGCACTGTTGAAGTAGTTGCTGTGTGGTATTTGTGAGAATTTTTTAACAGCAAAATTATTAAAAATGTCACATTAGGAAACAAACCCTAGGGGAACCAGTGCACTTGTATCTGTTGGCAAATGAAGGTATGGTACAGAGTGGGTTGGCTATTTCCTCTTTATCCCTGAATTTAGTACTTCTCAAAGTTGTGTGTATGTGCCTGTGTGTGTTTGTAGTCATTCTGTAAGAGACTGTTGTCCAGTGGAATGCGTGAGAGAGTCCTGGATTGACAGTCAAGAATCCCAAATTCTGGAATTAGCTCTGCTACTGTAGGAGTAGGCGGGTCAGTTTTCTGCTTATAACTGGCATAAAATGGGAGTGTTGTATTTGTTCAGGGATTACAAATGTCTACAGGAGTGAGGTCATTAACTTAAGTTGCCATACACCTATCTTATTTTTCTCTTGAGACTTGGCATGCTTTTCTTTTGTTCTCCTACTTTGTTGGAGTCATAGGTAGAGTGAAATATTTCTGTACCACAAGAAAAACTATAATGCAAGGATAATGATAGCCATAGATTGTGTTGGGCAAGAGGGAGTGGTGGCATTTGGGGTCCCCAAGCTAGCCTATGATGGACAGTTGCTACTTAACATCAACCGATCATTTTCAGACCTGAAATTGTTGGTATATGTTGACAGATCTGATATTTTTTTAAGAGTCAGAAATTGGGATTTTTAAAGTAACTCTGATTTTAGGTTTTGATTTAAATTTTCTAAATATGTCCTACCCATGAATGCAATGTCACTCTCTATAGGCTAGGCATACCTCTGGGCTTTCAGTTTGGTGAACCCTGTTATAGACGACTTCTAAAGCTTTTCTCACGATTCATTAGTCTAGTGGGGACCAGTTCAGCTGGTATATTGAAGTTTCTTTACTTTTACTTAGGGAAGTAAATGTAGGGATATAGTAGACTCAGAAAAGGACATTGTTGCTCTGAGCCTAAACTTTGTGCCTAGCAACCCACATTTGGAGAACTTTTTTTTTTAAATTTATCTATTCATACAGAACTGGGGTACAGGCCAGAGATGTGGAGGGTGAGAGGATTCACCAGAGACAGAATGGGGAGCAGAACAGGCAGATCAACGAAGTACACTGCTGAGGGGAGCAGCGGGCAGTCAGGAGAGGTCTGCCACGCTATGTGGGTCTCCTCCAGGGCAGGCGGGGATCGAACTCATGCGGAAGTGTCTTAGGCTTCTTAGTGCTGTGCTTTAACCCGCTGCGCCACCAGGGAGGGCCCTGGAGAACTCTTGGAGAGAAGTCACAGGTGCCTGATTCATCCCTAATGTTTTATGTTTTTCTGTTACAGGTGTTGGCATTTGTTGGAAGAGCTTGTAAAGCTGCCTTTGCCTAGAGCTCCAAGACCAATGCATCTTTCCTTCGTCTTAAACCAGTGGTGAATATGTGTTTTTTTGTTTTTTGTTTTTTTCCTTCTGCTACAGTGAAAGGAAATATTGTCAATAGACTATAGAATGTGATTTATACTGTCCTTTCATTCACCGAAGGTCACCGGAATGGGCCCATGCATGTCTGGTTCCGCCATCATTACTGTAGGGTGTTAGGTGAATTGTTTGCCCCTGGGGAGAGAAATAAATCTGCCCTGCTGAAAGAGATTGTGTATATGAGAATGGCTCAAAGAAAAGTACTGGAAAAATATAAGATAACCATATTAGGGCCTGAGATGTAGAGCAGGGCAATGTAAACATGTAAATTAAAATGTTGGAAAGACAGGCCCTCCCTGGTGGCGCAGCGGGTTAAAGCACAGCACTGAGAATCTAAAGCCACTTCCACATGAGTTTGATTCCTGCCTGCCCCGGAGGTGACCACATGGCGAGGCAGACCTCTCCTGACCCGCCCGCTGCTCCCCTCAGCAGTGTACTTTGTCGATCTGCCTGTTCTGCTCCCTACTCCGTCTCTGGTGAATCCTCTCACCCTCCGCAACTCTGGCCTGTACCCCAGTTCTGCATGAATAAATAAAATAAATCTTTTAAAAAAAAATGTTGGAAAGACAGATTTTAAATTCCTATTTTCTGAGACCTCAGAGTGGTACTGTGAGAGATTTGTGTTCCATTTCCCCTTCCATTATTGCTGCTTTTTTCTTGAAAGATGAGTGAACTGCATTTCACTATCACCTCCATTTTTATTTGAAATTAGATAATTTCTGTAAGCAAATGTTCTTCCTCTTTTGAAAGAAATTTAACTACTCATCATAGCAGGTAAATGTCAATTGAAAGAGGTAAAAATACGCCCTTTAACACCCCTGTGTCCTGTACTGAGATGAGGCTGCTGCAGGCAGTCTGGTTGAGGCTGGTTCCAGGGGCGCTGGGAGCCAGGCAGGCAGGTGACTGTGCATCTTGATGCCAGCTCCTCTTGTTGAGAAGAGCTGGCTTGTTTGTGGACTGCCTGGTCAGGGCCAGTGAGAACAGTCCCAGTGGCCCGGCCTCCTGGGAGTCTGCAGGTTGCTAGAGGCGGGCACAGGAAGAGGAGCAGTCAGACCAGGCCAGGCCCAGAGTTAGGACCCAACTCAGGTAGGAAGGGCCGACTGTCTAAGTAGCAGTGTCCAAAGGAATGTGGGTGTTCTGGGTCCCAACCCCAGAGTTCCATGTGGTAGGCAGAGCTCTGTGGTCAGAGCATTCAGGGAAGCAGATGCCTTCAAAAGTGGGTGGTACACTTGGCCCCTTCAGTAAATGTGTGTTCGTGCCTCTCTTGTACCAAAGCTCTGCTCCAGCACTGGAAGGTTGGGGATCATCAGACCGAGACTCCCTGGAGCTTAGAGTCATGAGATTGACTAGTTAGAGTCATTAACAAAAATAAGAGCCCCACAAGGGCAGGAATCTGTGCTTCTTCACTGCTGCATCTCTAGCTCTCAGACGAGCTCTGTGCACACACACGATGGGCGTTTCAATAGGTGATAGCATTCAGGTAGTAGTAAGTGCCACAAAAAAAGGAAACAAAGTGAGGGGTTCTTTTGAAAGTGTTGTGTGTGTGTGTGTTCAGAGATGCAAACCGTTTGACACTGGGAGTGTCAGACAAAGGGAGCAGCGAACATAAGGAAAGGCCTTTGTGCAGACTGTGCCTCTGTGACAGAGGACAGGAGTGAGCTGTTTTGGCTGGCTTGGGAGTGAGGATGGAGAGGGAGATGAGCGGAAGTCAGTGTAGGAGCCAGTTCTTGTTGGGCAAAGTTTGGATTTTTCTGTGGGATTGGTTACTGTTGGAGACATTTAAGTAGAACAGTGATATGATTGTCTTTGGGCTTTAAAATGTTCTGGATACTGAGTAGAGAATAGACTCTGGGGCACGAATCAGTGTAACCCGTTTCTTCTCGCGGTTTAGGCAAGACATATGGCTTAAGGTCATGATTACAGAGTGATGTGAAATGGCCAAGCTCAAGATATATTTTGAATGTACAGGCTGATGGATTGACTCTGGGCAGAAAGAAGAGTAAAGGATGGGTCCAGTTTGGGTTGGTTTTTGGTGGATGACATTGCTCTTTACTGAGATGTGGAATAAAGATGGAGGTTTTGGAGGAAACCCCTCTGGGTTCTTTTTATTAAATGTGAAATGCCCATCTGATCATCTCTTTAAGATGCTGAGTGATTGGGGCTGGAAAATGGTACCTTGAAAGTCTTCAGCCTATACAAGGTAATAAAGCTTGAAGAAGGGATGAGATCACTGAGGGAAAGAAAGGGGGATTAGAGGACCTGGTTAGAGAAGAGGAAATGCAAAGGGGGTATCTTTCAATACAAATTCCCACTAAGAAGTAAATGAAGACACAACTAATGAGGGTGAGGTGATTCCATGTGATGCAAATTATCAAATGAGATAAAGGGATATAAAAGCAGTATTAAAGCTTTATCTTATATAAAAATTTGGAAATACTGTGACTCCTCCAAGTTAAGAAAATTTGTTTTAGAGTTGTGTATTTTTAAATCTGATCAGCTGAATGAATTTTCAGCTGCATTTATGCAATTGGCACATGGCTGTGCCTTTGGCTGGCAAGGAGCAAAATCTAGCATCCTTTGCCAATAGCCTGCAACCTGCACTGTCCTTATGCACTAGAACTTCTACAAACCCTTTTGATGACTATTAAGTTGAACTCACTATGAATAGAATTCAGGGTGTTTTTGTTTTTGTTTTATCTACATCATACCATCGAAAAGCTCATTCAGTGATTCATTGAGTGAAAATCATGTCATTTTGCAATGAAAGCCATGATGAAATTCTATGAGTTCAAATAGCACCATAAATTAGGAAATATTTACAGTATCTTTAAAATACTGAGAATAAGAGCTACAAGATAAAAAGCAGTGACTATAAAATGATGGCTGTAGTAAATGTGTGTATTTCAGATATCACTGATGCAGTGGCCCTCTATTGTTATTGACTGATAAGAGAAAATCAGTCCTGCATCATACAGCTTGTGGGCTTTGGTATGAAATGGAGCCTGTTTGTGATGGCTTTATCCATTTCTCAGAAAGATTACCCTACTGAGCTTCTAGCATGTTCTCAACGGACTTCTTAGTTTTTTCCACTTTCAGGCTTCCTGGGGAGTTTTTTTTGGCTCTGTTAATCTGTAGCCCTCATAGACACCCTTCCTCCCCCCTGTCTCCAGCTATTTGCCCCAAGCTTGCCTGCCTCCCCTCAGGGACTCCCCACCCTACCCATCTCTGTCTCCCCTGGGGAGGCTCAGCTTAACTCTCCCAGAGACTTTTGAATATCCTAATGATTTTGTTCTTTGAAAAACACTTGTGTTTTTCCTCCTGCTTGTCTTTTCAGATCTTGTGTGGGATGACAAAAGACAGAGAAACCAGTATGGCTCTTGAGGCCAGTGTGACAGGGACATCCCCATGGGCGCTGTTTCCTAGCTTTTGGGCAGTAGGCAACCCTCACTTCATTTTTACACAAGTTCAAGACATTCCTAATCCAAGGACAATATTCTTCATGAGTGCTGACCTCTGGAAAATGAGTTCTGATGAGTGTTCTGTGTTCAATGGTTCATGGCAAAATGAAGGTTTCAGTGGGATGGTATCCACGGCAATTGACATCAACCCTGGTTTTCCTTGGTTTCCTAGTTTTCCTGATTTCCCTCACAGAATGAAACTTTTAAAAGATTAAAAAGAATGAAATTTAACTAGAAATTCATTGTAGGAGGCAGGATTTCTTCTTCCTGCTTCCTTCTTTGTGAGTCAGGAGTAAAAAAAAAAAAAAAAGGTGATGGCAGCTTCCTGTGCCCCTGACAGATAGGGCAGTGGGGGGTTGAAAGAATGGTAGTAGCAGCCTCAGGCTTAAAATAAAAGAAGTGGGTGCGGAGCAGGGCTTGTATGTGTGAAACATTTTTCTAGAGGAGACGAGAAGCCTTGTGACGTGTGTAGAGGTGTAGGCCTTGTCCCTGCATTGTTCTCTTGTGAGGATGTGTGAATTCTGGTTTGCTTCTGTCTCCATTTGTTACCTGTAGGCCCTCTGAGGCTTTTGACTTAGTAACCCCTGACTTAGCATTTCAGTTTAAAATCTTACATTGAAAAATGAGGGATTTTGAAATTCAGCAAAATACCATTTTGGTGTCCTTCCTTTTGAGTATTAGTTGTATTTTTTTTATTTTTTAAAGATTTATTTATTTATTCATACAGAACTGGGGTACAGGCCAGAGATGCGGAGGGTGAGAGGATTCACCAGAGGCAGAGTGGGGAGCAGAACAGGCAGGTCGACAAAGTACACTGCTGAGGGGAGCAGCGGGCGGGTCAGGAGAGGTCTGCGGCGCCATGTGGTCTCCTCCAGGGCAGGCGGGAATCGAACTCATGCGGAGGTGGCTTTAGCTTCCTAGTGCTGTGCTTTAACCAGCTGCGCCACCAGGGAGGGCCACAAAACCTTAGTTTTAAATGATAGGGAGAAAAATGGTTTGAGTAGTAAAGTAGTGAAACAAATATGTTTTTTTTTTCTTTAAACTGATTTGTGCATTTTCAAGTAAGAGGGGAAGGAAAGAAAGCAATAATAAAATTTTTTGTATTCTTTGCAAATATCAAATCATAATATTAGGTTTGAAACATATCATGTACCCTGCATAATGTAGTTTGCTCATAAAATTATACTATGTTGGGAACATTTATACAAATTTACTAATTATATTTGCTCTTAAATATTTCCACTTTTTTCTTTCAAATGGATCTGAACTACTGAACTTGAAGGAACTGGACATTTAGTCTGTTCCCCTTTTCACAATAAGCAGACAGAATAGGAAACTGGACAACAGAAATCCCTGCTGTTTTAATAAAACAGCTATCAGTGCTTTAGGCCGTGTGTCTCCCAGAGTATCTGGTGGACTGCAGGAAAGGAACTTCATGTCAAAACTCAAAACCATCAATCCAACCTGAAGCTTTAATAAGCATGTGAACTGAATTG